GAGTTCCTCAGTAATGGCTCAAAATAGGTATGTTTATAGTATTGATGTTCTTCAACTATAGGGATTGCAATTCTATCCGAATCTAACGTTTACCTCCCCGACTGTAGCTTATTATATCCGATTCTGAACCAAATAACGACGTATCCGTAATAATTGAACCAGACCTGATTTTTGCCGGGTTGGCTTTTGTTTAGTATATTTGACTGACCCGACATCTCCCCGGACCAACCCGACATGTACCCAAACCGACATCTCCCCGAACTGTCCCGACATGTACCCAAATCGACATCTCCCCGAACCGTCCCGACATGTACCCAAACCAACCCGTAATAATTGAACCGAACCCAACACGACATGTTTCCTTACATTTTGACAAATATGCTAAAGAATTGTTGGTTTTTTTGGTATAGTTTTGGAAGTCGCTCCGTCACGTCCTCAAAACGAGTTTGTGAGTATGGTGAATGGTTTGAAGTCCCTACTTGTAGGTGTGGCAAGGACATGAAAATGCTAACATCGTGGACCAAAAGTAATCCTGGTAGAAGATTCTGGACGTGTGCCGGAAATGTCGGTGAAGTATAATTATTTGTTTTACATTTTAGTGTTGATTTATTTGTTTCATGTGATTAATGTAAGTTGGTGTTGATTAGGGAACACGTAAATATGCGATCGTGCTAAGAAGATCATTCCCGGGCTCCTAGACAAGATCAATGAGAAAGACAGAGAGATGGAGCAGCTAAAGAACCGTAATAAACAGAAGAAAAAGATGAATGTCATCCCTTTTATGTTTGGTTTGGTTGTAGGACTTGTCATCCATTATGTTTTCCTTGTGTTGTTTGTGTAAACTTTAGAAAACAAGACTTTGGCTATGAATGGAATTTCAACCTTTGTCTCTGTATTGGCTGTGGCACTTGTATTATGTACTATCTGGTTTTTATTTGTAATGAAAGCCTACTATTGCTGGATTGTATCAATAGAATCTAACATTAGTGGCTCCATCTGAAGTTCTTTGGCTGGTAAATGATATCTAAATCCAATGAACCTAGGGAGACTTATATTCTGGTCTTTAGCTCTGGAAATTACATCAGCATACAAATCCTTGGTGAAGTACATATCCAAATCAATGTCTTCTATCTCAATCCATTTGTCTTTTACATATACTCTAAATCCAGTAGGAGGCTGAAATTTAAAAAATTCAAGAGTAAAATAAGCAATAGTATACACCCAATATTCAATAGAAAACAAAACATTAAACTGGCATAAACCTTTGGAATTCCTTACGCTTCATACTCAGTTTCATGTCCAGTAAATCGCATAATATAAACAAATTCAAACTATCAAAAGCTTAGTTTCATGTCCAGTAAAATCGAGTAAACAGAAGATGACGAAGAAAATTTTTGAAGAAAATTGACTATATAAATTCCAATGTTTCAGGCTTTAATTACCATTCTTTGCAGGTCTTCGATTTTTCCTTTTCCGGAAGTTGAAGGAGGAAGACGATGAATTGAGATAAAGTTAGGCGCACGTTTATACCTCTTTTTGGAAAAAAAGAGGGGTATAACAGACATTTCGCAGCCAATAACGGTGGGTTTGACGGATTGTACCCACCCAGTTAATTACTGGATAACAAGAGGGACCCCGCAGTAGATTTTTAAATTTAATGGGACCTGGCAGTTATATTCCCAAAATAGAAGGTACCTGGGAGAGATTTTTTGCGCGGAGTATGTGTTTTTATTTACCACCACTATTCCCGCAGTAAAAATAAAACAAAAATTATCTTTTTACCGCAGTGTTTGTGACTTTGCGTATTAAAGAATGTAATGAAATTACCGGGAATTAATTATCTTCTCTCGCCGTCCACAAAAGAAAATCCGGAGTATAAATTACTTTGAGTCTTTGACCTAAAAACTAGTAGTAACTCGGTAATAAGTAAACAAAAAGTAATTCAAAAAATCATATCATGGCAAAAATAATAAAAAATCTTGTGTTAAAATGAAAAATTTTCGAGATTTAATGTCTTTTTTGGAGAGGCAAAAAAATAATGCCACACGCTGACGTTGTTGGTTATTTTAGCGTCATCGATTATTTTATGTGATTGGGTTACTTAGGGGCTGTTTGTTTCAGCCTCTTTATGGTTCAGATGTCTGAATGGTTCAGTACTTAATGGTTCAGACTGTTTGTTTCAGCCTCTTAATGGTTTAGATGTCTGAATAGTTTGGACATTTGCCTCTGGTTAAGTATTATACAGAGTCTGAATGGTTAAGACCTCTTATCTAAATTGATCAGACATTTACCTCTGAATAGTTAAGCAATATACTAGCTCTTAATGGTTGAGACCTCTTACTGGTTCAACACTTAATGGTTCAGACCTCTTACTAGTTCAACACTTACCTATTCGAAAGTTGCCAAACAGCCCCTTAGACAAGATTAAAATTTGAATGAATGTTGTTTAACGAGTTAGTAAGAGCAAAGTGCATACTCTTTCAATAATATTACAAATTCATAGTGGGGGGCCTAGGGGCGGTAGCCCCTGCCCACGATGTTTTGGAAATTTTTTATTTTTGGACGCTAATACGCTAATGCTTTATGAAAATCTCTCAGATTTTCATTAACAAAGTCCGAAACTCTAAAGAAACGGACGTATAGATAAATGTCAAAACCGATCCAAAAAGATTTGGCTTAAATTAAAATTCAATTTACCTCATCTAAATGACCGTCCGGTCGGATCTGAAAGGACTCCCGAGATGGGGCTTATCCTTTTTAAATTTTGAGCCTCGGGTCAAATAACTAGAAATCGTCAATTAACATCTCCTATTGTAAGGTTAATACACCATTGAATCAAAGTATCTATTTCCATGTGCAATTAATGAATTATTATTATTCCGTACAGAATACTGAATATCATTAAAAAGCTTTGCCTCAACTTATCTTCACAGCACATCAAATCGTTACGAACTAATGCATCATTATCCACCAAAAAAAAGAAAGAACTCCACCCTTAGGTCTTTCATGACCGACCCGAATAATAATTCGGAAGAACAAGGTAAATGCATTAATTTTAGTGAGTAGAGCATTAATTTTAGACCAATTCATAAGAAGTAAAATTTGTTTCTCGTACATGTAATGATATCTTACAAATATTTAGCAACCCCTCAAAAAATACTAAAATTAAGAAGTACTCCGTAATACGGAGTATTTATTTACTACAGTTCCCATAAATAAAATTCATGAAGGGATTTGTGAAAAAATATATTTTTTGAATTTAATATTTTTGAGAACTTGGTGTAGAAATAAAAAAATTATATATATAAAATTTTATCAAAAGTTCTTTGAAATAAAGATGATATAATTATTATTCAAAAAAAAAGATGATATAATTATATTATTGGCTAATTTACCTAAATATGACTTAAACATAATGAATTTTTCAATATAGGACTGTATGTTTTTATTTTCTAATATAAGATCATTGGTCATTATCTATTAGTCATTATTAAACTAAATATCCAGCATCACTTAAATATTATTTTTCTCACTAGACATTATTAAGTTTTACATGGGAAATAAAAAAGTTTAAATCCTATATTGGAAAATGCTTTATGTTTTACTCCTATTCAGTGCAAATTTCACTATATTATTCTATCAATTTATTGATAAAAAACTACAATATAATTTTATTATTTTCTAAACTTTGCGAGAAAACAAATAGCCCAAAAAAAATTGAGTATGCAGTACTTGTAAACAAGGCCCAGTTCGTGGCCACTAGGTTTTGGTCACAGAAGCTACTGTCTCGATTCAGACACCTACGATGCTCCGTTCGTAAAATTGATGATTCTTATCCCTACTAACCCCCTGGTTAACCCCCTCCTAAAATTGTTGATTTTTGCACCCTGTAATTTTAGTTGACTTTGAAGTCAAAACTTTAGACTTTAAACTCAATTATACTTGCGGGGTGCAATTAAAATATGTGGGAGAATAAGTTGGGGTCGAGACTGGCAGGGCAATTTACTGAGAGGGAAATCATCAATTTTACAAACGAAGTATCGTAGGGGGATAATGGCCTCCGTAACCACTGAAATCTAGTTGCCACGGAACCCAGACAAATATATATTGGAGTTTTTTTTGAAAAGTATTGGAGAGTTAATAATATGATATGGATGATAGACTAAATTGCTTTGGAACACGTAAATACTCTCCGTGACCACTGAAGTATAAACAAATTAAATACTTGTTTATTTTAATCTTAAATATGTCATTTGTCTACAATAGTGGTACACAATTGATTGAATGGGAACAAAGACTAAGAGATGGAAATTGTGTAGTTGAAAGTGTGTAGTAGAAGAAATAGAATCCGTTACTAAAAGTTGATCCTTTTTATAACTTTATTTAAATAGACAAAGAAAATATGAAATATTATTGTGTGACAGATGGAGTAAATATTTATCAATCACTATACATAATAATGTTGTTATTATGCACCCCAGGGCCACATAAAAACTTACCCTTTTTGAAAGAGATCATAAAGTAAATGTGAAATATTATAAATTGACATATAAGAACAATCATGTTTTTGTGAAATATTTTTGTGAAATATAATTAAGATCTCGTTATCTAGTAATTATTCTTATCCGAATTCTATTATTTTGCATTAATCTTTATTACTAACATTTTTGATTGTTTACTTTATAATTGCATTGTTATGTACTCTATATTTCATTGTTTATTTTTTATTGTTATATTTCTTTTTTATTATTATTTATCTATTTTTATTAGTAGATAAGTATATTTACTAAATGTATATAAGCTTTCATTTAGAGTGATGAACAATGTAAAATAAGTAGATAGGTGGGGCGAGAGGGCGATAACATTGCAAAGTGTTTTGGCCTAGAAAAAAAGAAAAAGAAAATAATGCTAGTTCTAAAAGTATCACTCGAAAACCATAGTCAAAAGTAATTTTAGAATAATGATTAAAAAAGAGTGCTGTAACTCAAAAGCAAGAGTATAAGAGATTCATTCATTCATTCTTAAAAAAAGAAGGATGAGGGACAATCAGTGTGTACTAATTAGGAGTTTGGGCTTTCCCAATGAAAATAAAAATCACAAGAAAGGGTGGGGTGGGGCACACAGATTAGAAATTACCTTTAAAAAATGTTATTTGCACTTCAAGAAAAATTTACACAGTTGAAGGACCAGAAGAACACAAGAAAATACAAACTTATAAAAACAACATTTCCTTTCCTTTTTTCCTTCCTGAATTACTTACACTTAATTGATGATCAAAATCAGATCTAATTAAGATCAGTTGTATGTTGTTCTGTAAGCTGTACCAAATGTAGTTCGAACGACTGTCAGAAAATTAGAGAGATTCTGATTCCCCGCGTTTTGACACTTCTAACTGTGGTGGCAACAGATTAAGGAAACTGCCCTGAGTTGGTTGGGCAGAACAAGAATCAGCTTCTTCCCCTGTAATCATGCAAAAATCCAACATGTCTTCTTAAATGGTGCGATCTTATTCTAATGCTAAAACATTGGGTTATATTACTTATATCAATAAACATATAGGTACACAGAACAAAGTCTTATTCTAATGGTAACTATGTATGAATAAAGTGGGACAGAACTCCTACTGAATAGGGCTTTCACAGTTGGCCTCTTAGGTTTTGTGCTCTTCTTCCGCAGGTCAGCTGAAAATAAAGTGCATTAAGAGAAAATTAGACTTGATTACATAATTTGAAGGGACAAGAGAAGATCAATTCATGCTTCAAGAATGTACAAACTCCGTGAAAATTTAAGGATCCCAAAAGAGGGAAGAAAGAAGAGATGAAAATCTATCAGGCCCCATTTCGTACATGGAATTCAAACTATGGAATTGGAATTGGGGACTTCAATTCTAATTCTGGTGTTTGGTAGCACAAAAATTATGTGGATTTGGAATTGATAGTGCAAAAAATGAATTGAAATTGATAGAATTCAATTCTATGGAATTGAATCCTATGGAATTACAATTCTAATTCAATTCCAATTCCACCAATTCCTTATACCAAACGGACCCTCATGGTAAATGCAAAAACCATTTATATACATGAATGGGGGTGCATACCAATTCCAGGAACTTCATTGTCATTCACAATTTCAAAGTTTTTGTATGTATATCCCATAAAATTGACATCCTTAGAAGAGAGCATCTGAAAAGACAAAAGTGAGAATGGCAAAGGTAAGAGGACTCCCCAAACATAAGGAAGAAAATGCAGATTTCACAATCTAAATATGCAAGGGCATGCTTTCTTGGAGGCTAAGAGTGTGTTTTGTTGAAGAACACAAGGACTCCTTCCCTCCGAACTCAAAGCAAAGAGTAAGGCCGTAAGGGTGTCTTTTGTTGTAATGCAGGAAGAGGGAAGGAAGGGGAATGTTTTTTTTTTCCTTTTTGAAGTAAACCTGGTTTCGTTCAAGGGAGGAAGGGATGAATTATGATAATAATGTTATTTATTAGAAAATATATTTCCAAAAAATACTCCTCCCCCCTCCAACCAAACACACCCTACAGGATCCACAGCCAATCCCCAAGGAATAGACACTGCTCTTACCCATGCTTAGATAAATGCATGCCCTTTTTATCCCCAAATAAACGACTTGAACTTATTCCAAAAATTATGTCATTTGAACATGGACTGCTTTCACATAGAGGACACTATGGTCCAAAAAAACAGAGGGCTATATCTCATTTAAGTGCTTTTCCAAAAAAACATTAATGTGCAGGATTCTCAAATAAGCATTAGAAGTTAAATAATAGTGTCAAAGTAATCCCAAATGAACTCCAAATTCTCTCTAAAGTACATGTTCATTGACATCCGGTTCCCTCTTGGGCATACTAACCTTCCTCCATGGACCTGATTTCATTGCAGTTGGCATCTGTTTGTCAACCTGAAAGCCACCCAGATATGAATCAATAAGCACACACATTTATGTATAATCAAACAATTAGAAGATATCATGCAACAACACCCAACATTGATAAAAGAAAGCAAAGCCCTACAACAGAGGGACCTATTGATGGATTAACCTCATCAAACTTCTCGAAATTTTGAGTGTCCAACTCATCATTAACTTCTGGAATAAATGCAGCTTTCATTTGATACAACTTGTCCCACTCAACTCCTACGAACCATGGGTGAGCCTGAAAAAAAAGATTGATACATCAATCTCTAGCATTTTCAAGTTCAAAAGCTCCAATATGAATGAGTTGTACAGAGTATTAAAATACCTTTATTTCATGAGCACCTTTTGTTCCAAGCCTTTGTTCAACATTGCATAGAAGTCTACGAATAAGATCATTTGCTTCAGGTGACAGTTTTACCTCATCCGGGAATTTCAGATGTGTCCGCCAGTTTACAATCTGTAGCAATTAGATATATGAGTTTTTTTAGCTTAAATGATATGTCAAATTTCTTTTTGGATAATAATAGACACAAATAGGAAATGCAAACAATGTACTTAAACGAGCATTCCAATGATTCAGGAAACGAGATTATGTCATATGCCACCATAAAGGAAAATGCCAAATTAACCATTGTAATCGTGATGTCTTTGCTAGTTAAACCTTTAGAGAAAAATATTTCCATCAGCCTATCATGTAAAACACCTATTACAATGAACATGGGAAGCTAGAGGCCATATATTTGTTGCCTTGACCAAAAAATCTCCAGAACTATTTATCACAATATATTCAATGCAGGAAATATAGATAAACATCTATTTAATAACTTTGAATATTTAGATATATGTTGAACTTTTTTTAATGTTGCAAAGGCATTCAAAACTCTTTCAACTATTTCAACAACACAGAGAGTCAGAGATATGTGCTAAAATCATCTATGAATGGCAAATTTCTATACTCATGTTACACCATGTAAATCTCAGGAACCTCACTCGATACAGAAGTTCCATCCCCAGAAATTGGGTCTTATTCTTATCATTATCAACAATTTTGATTACGTCACATAGTACAAAAAAGCTCCCACAACATGTAGATGCAGGGTCCCTTGATAGAAGCACAAAACCGTACCTAAGGGCCAGAAGTTGAATTTTTACCTTTCTACAAGTAGACATAGGTTCATCTGAATAAAAGGGTGGATATCCCACCAACATTTCATACATGATTGCACCAAGTGACCACCTGAAAAATCCAGAACAATGTAACTCATATATAGAAAAAAATAACATAAAGTAAAGAGAACATATTCAAGATACATACCAGTCACATTCCATTCCATATCCCTTCTTTAATAAAACCTCTGGCGCAATATAATCTGGTGTTCCCACGGTGGAATATGCCTACAACATTGACATTTTTACTTGATATCAGATTTCCACATGATCCAAGTTAGTCTTTGAAAAGCAAAAGGAAACATAGTTCACATATTCTCTTTTCCTTTTTGGAGAAAAAATAAACAGTTTGAAGAACAGTCCAAGTGAGTAACCAGGCTATATATTTTGTGCCCATTTTCAGGGAGCTATGTAGAGTCTGAAAATGTAAGGGAGTCTCAAGAACAATAAAGAAAGCAATAAAGCATATTTAAAAAACAAAAACAAGATTCGTGTTAGAAATGACCTAGAAGTGAAAAGGGACAAGTCAACAAGGACATTAATTCCTAACATCTTGTCCCACACAGACACAAGCAGATAGTTGGCTTTGTCTGGGTGCAAATAAAGATAATTAATTAATTAGCAGCACGTAGTAAGAAGCTCACAAGCATTCTCCTGTTCCTCTGCCAATGCTGCAGTTGCTCTTGCTGACTGCGCTTTGGAGGCCCAGAACGCCCATCACTTTTAAGAGCATCACTACAGTTTTGTCCAACTGTAAAATCTTTTTCATGAAGATTACTGCAGTCTAATGGTTTACATAATCCAAAATCAGACAGCTTCATATGGCCATTTCGATCAAGAAGCAAGTTATCAGGCTTTATATCTCTGCGAAATTACGAACAAGAAAAAGCAAACGGAGAACCAATTGATAATTCTCTTAAAACACTATAAAAAAACCACTCCTCTAATTAGATAGGATGTGAACCCCATCAAATGAACAATAGAAATTTGAATCTACCTGTGAATATAATTGTGCTTATGGATAGACTCGATAGCAAGGACTGTTTCCCCAACATAAAATCTTGCCTCATCTTCAGTTAATATATCCTTACGCATCAACAAAGTCATCATATCACCTCCAGGAAGATATTCCATAATTAAATATAGGTACTCCTCATCTTGGAAAGAGCAGTACAGCTTGACAATGCAATTACTGTCAACCTCTGCAAGAAGATTCCTTTCTGCCTTGACATGCTCAACCTGGAATGGTGCGCAGTGGTCAGCCAAAAAAAGTACTCCGTATAAAATAGGGAAACCCTTCACACAGCCATTTGTCAAGCAAGATATTATCTTACCTGGCCTCTACGAAGCATTTCAGACTTCTTGAGCTTTTTCATGGCATAGATGCTGCCAGTTGACTTCTCCCTGCATATTCTAACCTGAAATAAATTAAATATGGATGACATTTCATTTTACACAAGACCAATTATAAAATACTAGATGAATAAAAACATGTATTAGAAAAATCTCAAGAATTCCTTATTACCATATCTAAGGAATAACTTTTCACTCACACTAATCAGGGACTCTTCCCAACAGTGTGCTAACATAAATCGCAACTATGATGAGGGGATTGAAGGCATAATTGAAGAATGAGCACAGTTTGTTTCCCAAGTACAAAATGTAGTGAACTAGTGATAAACTATGAGCTGGACACCAAGTTAAGGCAGCACATGTAGCTTCCCATGCCAAGTCAGATAAAACATCCATGCTAAGGAGGGGTTTATTAAAAATATTTATGCACTATTAAGAGACTATCTTCCTAAATTGTGGGCAAGGTGATAATATTATAAACATGTGTTAGGGGTGAAAAATGTTTTCTCCAGGTGTGGCCATGAAGAGAGCACCCAAAAGCAAGGGTAGAGAGCATAAGGCATGGTTTGTTGATACGGATTAATTGACAAAAATAACTGTTTAACACTTTCATACTTCCGTTTTCTAAGCTAAAAGACATTTAAAATCTGGAAAGGTCCATACCTCACCAAATGCACCCTTTCCTATCATTGTCAACGGCTCAAAATCATCAGCGCCCATTTTATGCCTTTGAAGGCGCATGAATTCTGTCTCCTTCTTTTCAAGGTACTTCAGGATATTGTTTTGTTCCTCCTCAGAAACCTCAGCATCAGCCAATTTCTTTTCCAGCATGTTACGCCTGTGACATAATGCCAAAATACATTACACCATCCTTTATTTTCTTTTACTTTTTGTGTCTGCAAGCTTTCAAAGTAATTAGCCTCCATCCATTCCAACTAGTCATAGTAGTCAACATTCTTGCAAATTCATTGTTATCACAGTAACATCCTTATTTATTGACGAAACCATCAGTCCGTACTATGAAATACAGAGTAGTAATCAATGGTTGTGTGAATTGAGAAAGTTGATCAAGTAAGCATTATCAAAGACAACTCAAGATGATTATTAGCAATGATCAATCGCAACTTGCGAGATAATAATTGGAACTTGACAGGCTTACAGGGAGGACTATAAACATACCTTTCCCTACGCTCATGAAGGTTCTTCATTTGCTCCTTGTAATGCTTTTCTATGTACTGCTTTGCAGCAGCAACCTTTTGCTTAGTGGCAGTTGATGGCGGTGCGTCTTCACAGGCAGTGGTTTCCGAGCTTTCCTTCCCATTAGTTGTGGATTCCTTCTTCTTCTTGGAGTGTTTAAGCTTGTCTTTAAGCCTGAACTTACTCAACCATCGCTTTGCAACCTCCATCCAACACACTCACCCCTTTCCGCTCAATTTCTCTGTATTTATTCTTCAGAGCATCCCAGTCATCAATTAAACTCCTACTTACCAGAGCTCTGGAAATTCCAAAAGAAGAATCATACTGTTAAGTAACCGTACGATTCAATCGTCAAACAAACCCCTAATTCGAGGCATCCCCAAAACGAAGCAAAATCTCGATCAAATGTGGAAATGAACTCTAAAGAAAATGCAGAATTTGGGTCAAATCTCAAGCAATATCAACTTCAATTTTACTTTATCATCAGAAAATCGATCCAAATCCGAGAAAATCTCACCTGGACTCATCAGAAGCGCTTTGAGTTGAACCATCAACCTGGACTCGGAACCGAGTGAGCCAGCCGAGTTAACTCGCCCAGAGAAGCTCTAGTTCAGTAACCTCCGTCTCCGACTTCTAAAGCCCATATAAACGAACCAGTATCAATTGATTAAAAAGAAAAAAAACTTATTAGGTGCGAGCGATTGGTCGGAGAAGAAGACCGTTTTATGCGGTTTTCGTGGGTGGAGCCGGGGCCGTCGGATCGAGGCGGGCCGGGCGCGTTAATAACGTGGGGGCAGATGTGATCTAACGGCGAGAAACGCACTGCTTGGCGTACGGCGTCAAGCGGGAGATCCCGTCGCTTCCTTGTGGGGGCCTGCGCTTTTCCGCATTTCTTTCTTGCCTATCAAATTGAAGGCGGAATGATTATGATGAATTGATGATGATGAGGATGAGCAGGTGGAAAAGTGCAGAAATTACCACAAGATCGCCATGGAAGATCTGAACTATCTCGCGGGAAAACTGTTTAACGAAGGCTCTATCCTAACAAGAAGTGGAGTAGTGGACGACTTTATTACGGAAGTATTAGTAATTACTTCCTCCTTTGTCCATTTTTTATTTTTGAAACTGTTCATCTAAGCACTTTGACTCATCAAATTCTCTCAATGCGTAAACCTAAAAATAGTTATGTGTGATCTTGTTTGATTCATCTTAACATATAGACTATTAATATATAATTTTTATATTTTTTAATATACAAATTACAAGATAAAATGGATTAAAGAAGTGCATTGGATGGTGTGCAAAAATGAAAGTGAACAAACACTTAGGGACTGAGGGAGTAGTAAACAAATCTTTCTTTTCATTTTAATAAAGTAGGTAGAAATCAATCTAAATAGGACTAAAACATATAGAAAAATATAAAATAGTATTCTCATACTACGTATTTTTTTCTTGAAATAGGATTTCACACTGTGGTGGTATGATTGTAATGTAGCATTGTACATGTGCATATTTGTATACTTTTTGATAATGTACATGGCCATATTTGATAATGTAAATGCATTTTAAGTCCTATTTTAGGGACAAAAAAATTGAGCTTATATTTTAATACTTTCTCTATGTTTACTCCTACTTATCATGATTTCGTCTTAAAATGTCAAAATAACACAAATAATACGTTACTCTGGAAATGATAATTCCTCTTCTTTGAATTCTTGATGCTTTATCATTTTTAGAAGCACATGTTTGGAAATAGCGTTAGAGATTGATGTTAGCGTTTTGGATAAAATTTTAATGGTGCAAGTTACTTTAAAAATGTTAATGCTAAACATTACTCGTAGATAGCTTTTTCAAAACGCTAACCATAATCTCCAACATCATTCCAAAACATACCCGAAATCTCATTGAACTCTTTGTATTTTTTAACTTAGCATCGCTAGAGTTACAAAAAAAACTATTTTTTCTTTTACATGCATTTCACATTAGCTATAATATTCACTATAATCTCAAACACTCTATTTTAAAGTAAATACTACCGAAAAATATTTAATACCCGGAGTATTATTTTGAGAGTATCATTTTTTTGTGACCAAACAAATACTCCTTTCACTAATTTCATGTTAAATATGGCATGCTTATGCAAAACCCCAATTTACTCAAATTCAAAAAAGTACTAATTTCTTACTAGGGGTAGTTTTCGATCACGAAAAATTAAATACTATAAATAAAAGATCAACATGTGAAAATCCCAAATTAGAGAATAGTATAAGATGGACGGCAATAATATAGTTATAGCCCCATGTTACCCACGAATTCCATGGTTAATATATTTTGGACATGTTTGAATATTGGCTTTTCAAATGACTTTTGGCTATTTTGATCAGTCACTGTTTGGCAAATGACTATTGATGTTTTTTTGTTAGAGTTCGAAAAACCAAATTATGAAAAGCTAGGAATATTAAATAAATGAATAAATAGATTAACTTAATTAATTAATTATTAATGCAAAGTAAATAAAAACAAACAAATGAATGAATAAATGAGTGTATAATAACTAATTTCTCATTTCCCAATTGAAATTTCCTTAGAATTTACGAGGTAAAATATTTTTTATAGAATTATTCATAAATCTGTTATGACTTTGTCAGTCTGCAAAGGACCTATGATTCCTGTAAAGAACCTATGATTCTAGATTAGTCACAACTTATTTCCGACGATTCGTCTTCGTGGCAGACCCTTTGCAGATTATGAATCTATTATGACTTTGTTAAATTGCGACCGAATTTGTCTGTTGCACATCCTCGTAGTTTTAATGTCTCTCTTTCAAATTTAGCTTCTTATTTATTACTCGTGTTATCAAACTATGTATCTTTCTTATGTATTTTTAAGGATTATTTAACAAATAATATTAACATTATAGTCATATCATATTTATTTTGTAATGCACTTCAAATGAGCTTACATTTAAAAATTTTATTTTTAAATCTCATCTACAATATAAATAAAATATACGGAGTATAGATTTATAAACATGTATTTGAAATGAAAAAATTATATCCAAACGCGACCTTAAAACTGCGAGCAAAAAAATAAAAAAACACATCCAAACATGATGCGAAGTTTTGTGGATCCATCATTGATTTCAAAATGATTAGGCTTTAAATTATTGAGAGATTATCAAAAGTGTTGGGTATAATTGTGTGACATGGGAATGTTCCAAACTCACATGCAATAATTAGATATTAATGATCAAGCCCCCCCCCCCCCCAAATGCCTCTCCGCCAATCTCATTGTACCAAATTTTGTTGAGTTTCGGGTCAAATTTTAGACTAAAATTTGGTGTAATGAAATTGTCGATGGTGCACTGGTGCGTTGGGGACGGGGCGGGCTAGGAGGTTCTACCGGTGAGGTTAGGAGAAATAGAAACACAAATTGGGTTGGCGTAACATTACCCCTCGTCTTTATGAAATACGTAGTAATTTACAGTTACTGTTAGACTCTGTTTGGTACACATAATTCAAACTATGAAATTGAAATTGTAAATAAGAATATAATTCCAATTATGCTTTTTTGTAGCACAAGAATATGTAGATTTGAAATTTGTACTGCCAAAACTGAATTGTAATTAGAATTCCATAAAATTTCAACTCCAATTCAATCTCATTTCTGTCGATTCTGTGTACCAAATAGACTCTTAGAGTATATATGATACAACCTTGTATCAAGCCTTACGACAGTAGGGAAACAAGAAGAAAGAGAGAGATGGACGATACTTCCGATCGGCCGTAGAAGTAGGGGTTGGGGTTTTTAGAAGAGATGTAGGGAGAGGCTAAAATCTTATTATCATGCGTAAGGGAGATGAGTTCCCTTATATAATGACATGTTGAGTCCTCAAACCCTAATATTAATTCTACCCTGTCGGTTCAAAAAAATGCATCGAGGTAAAGAACCGAAAAGAAACCCTCGAAGGAGCTTATAAATGCTCACCTAGGAAAGATCTAAGTTACAATAAATAAAAGAGAAAATAACTAAACATAATCCCGGTAACGCTGGGGTGGCCCAACGTTACGACGCGGTCGACTCGAAGTAGAAGTCTCATTGGTGTTGTTCGCATGCGCCACGTCCGACTCCTCCGTTGGTAGGCCTTCCTTGCTAATTGGACGTTCCACGTGTTCGATGCCTGACCCATCCACGTTTGGCCCGTATCAACTCCCCCCCGCTTAGCCATAGCCTTGTCCTCAAGGCGTAAATCTCAAAAAAGCAGCGATGGGCTGGCTCCCAAGTAGCTTCTGCTGGTGTGCCATCCGACCACTGGACGAGCCATTCCTCTCGTGGCGCCCCATTGACAAGCACCTGCCGCCTGTCCCAAGCTGCGAGCGGGGTGGAGAGTGGTCGGCCTTTGACGAATTCCAGAGGTAAAGAGGGCAACACGGTCCCGCCATCCCGCTGAACGTAAGGTCGCAAAAGTGATACGTGGAACACATTGTGTATGCGGCAAGCCTCCGGTAGGCGAAGGCGGTATGCAACCGGCCCAACCCGTTCCAAAATTTCAAAGGGCCCGTAGAAACGCCTGGCTAATTTGGATGAACCAGGGCGTGCCAAGGAGTGTTGGCGATAGGGTTGTAGCCGAAGGAGCACCATGTCGCCGACGTTGAATACCACCTCCCGTCGGTGACGATTAGCTTGCACGCACATTCGCTGCTGCATTTTCTTCAAGTGAAGCTTCAAATCCTCCCAGAGGGCAGCCCGCTCACGCAATAATTCCTCGACCGCGGGTACCCGAGCACGGACTGACAGTGTGGGAAAAAGGGACGGCGGTGATCTAGAGGTTTGAAACTTTAGTTTGAAGTTTTAGGTCTTCAAACTCATTCCCAGTGCAATTGTTATTTAAGTTAAAATTGATGTAACAAAGAGAGAAATTTTGAAGCTATGGTTTGAAGTCCCGGGCCTTATAGAGTATTTCAAGTGCTCTTATTACCACTTATTTCTTTCTTTTAATGAATGAAAACATTTTTTTGAAACAATTCAAGAAGAAAAGTGAGAAGATAAATTTTGGACGGAAAAGTAGATCAGACTTTAAACACTAAGCTAAGGCCCCATTTGTCATCAGCGTTAGAAATTATCATTAGTATTTTGAATAGACAATCTCACAAGAGCCTTTAGTTTTATCATTTTCAGATTTAATTTACACAATTAAAATTTAAAACCCTAATACTATTCGAAAATATTTTTCCCAAACAAAGTCTTCAATAATTACGTAGTACTCCCTTCGTTTTTCAAAAGAGTTCCTCTTTTGACTTTGGTGAAAAATAAGGAAGTGTTAAATTATATTTGACTTTCCAATTTTGCCCTTGATGTGATAGTTTAGTTTTTAGTGAAAAAGTATGATGTGATAGGTAGGGTATGAAAAAGTAGGGGTAAAAGTAGTTTTTACTTTAAAAAAAAAAGGAAGGGTTTTAAGAAAAACAAAAAAAAATGAAAGAGGAAGGGTTTTAAGAAATTGGGAGTATATGTTATAGTAATGGTTATACCGTTCCACACAATAATGACCAAGGTAAAAATGTTGTTATTTTTATTTTGAAAATAATATCATTTTGCCTTTTACAAATTTTGTGGACAACATGTTATTTACTTTGACCATAAATTATGAAAAAAATACATTGAATTGTGATATAAATTAATATCAATAGATTTATATTAAAATGTACTTTTAAGAATATATATCATACTTTTATATTCTATTTTTATATAAAACTCGATAAATATGCTAATAATTAAAATATTATATTGAAGATCATGAAAAATCAAACATGAAAACAGATATGGGATGATAGTTTTTCACACATGCATGTGAATTGTGAAGTCAATTTGATCGAGCGTTTGGTTTTTTTAATTTTTTCCATGCATGACGAGTTTGCAAAGTACTACATATTAAATTAGATCATATCTACAAATCTATACATACATCGTCTTTCCTTTTATAATTTTCTTCCATATATTGAATCTGTTTCCTTTTATATTTTTTTTCTTATTCCTTCTACATACTAATTAATTCGATCTCTTCTTAGACATATATATAGTGTTTTCTTGCAAAACTTAGAATTGATTTGTCAATATAATACACATATAATGAGAATATTAGTGCACAAACAAATGCAGAATTGATTCAAAAAGACACTAATTCACAAAAGCTCGATCTCCGGCCAACTTTAGCTATATAGGTAATCAAGTCTTCCATCATCTTTTATTTTCTAGAAGAAAAAAAAGAGTAATTTTCAACTTTCATATTTTCAAACATAATTTACAAAATAAAAATATGGAGTAAATCATTTAATTTGAAATTTCGATAGTAATTATAAAAAGAAATATAATCGGGGTGGGGTCTTTTATTTTTTT